CATTTTGCAGTGCTATATAAACGACTGATACAGCAAAGACCTTTTGCTTTAAAAAGTAGACATGTGAGCAATTTGTTTATGTCAGCCTGCTTTCCACTATAAAAATACCCTTTCTTCCGTAGTATGTATACGTCAAAAAATGATCAGCTCTCTTAACCAAACAAAAATACACAAACTAAAAACTTGCTTAATTTTATTACTAAAACCTTGCAATAAACTACCATTCATTTTCTCTTAATAATTTCTCCAAATTCTACAGAATTCAACTGTGTAGAGTACTCTCAGATCCTCATTTTTGAGTAACATTAAGAAGTAAACAATGACCAAAATTTTCAGGCTTCTGATGAAGCAGGATGACCCTTAACTGCGAGACAAGATAAAAGAGAACAAAGAACTGATTATAACTGCCTCAAAATCGCGTCTTTTTTAAATTTTCTACCTGGAGTTAGATAAAAGAGCCAACAAACAAACTCACATATATAATCAAGTCAAGCTTAAAGTGTTTTAAACGTATCATACACCGCAAACGAGATGAAAGACGAAAGTGAAAATTTTAAAATGAGGAATTTGACATTTTATAAGAATCGTATTTCAAATAACAAACAGAAAGACTTTTTTTAGAAGAGTCCACGTTTTACCGAGCGTGTAAAGCATTTGTATCCTGCACTGACCGTGAAAAATCAAGATCTAAAGTAGAACATGAAGGATGGTCCTTAAGATGTGTAGCCAACTCAGAAGCGTACTGCGGTGGATCAATTTGAGCACGTTCTGAAAAAGCCGTAACTTTTATGAAATGGCAAGAATTAATCCCAGGTAAAAAGTGAATAAATAAGTAAGCTAAATAAAATAATGAAGTAACCGTACCGCAAGACTTCAGCATTTCCTGAAACTTGTATCGCCTCAGATTGACTGGCTGCTGGACCCACCAGTGGTTCTTTATTTCATCCACCGTAGCGCGCAAACGTGGATCACGATGCAGTAGCCAAGCTATAATTTGATACAAACCTGAAAAATAAGCAAACGTTTGAAAAAAAAAGCTCTACGAAGAAATAAAATAACAGTCTCAGACAGTGTAAAAACCGACCGTCAGAGACATCCCACGGTAATTCAATTTCCGCTCCCACAGTCTCCTGTGGAGTTCGGAAGGGGTTTTCAAAGTAAACTAATGTGTACAATAAAACGCCTAACGACCACATCTCTAATTCGGGACCACGGTACCTGTAATCAAGTCCGTACACCAAAGCACTAGAGTTCAACAACTTTAATAAGCTAATAATAAGAGAACATACTTGTTGCCACTAAGAACTTCTGGGCTACAATATTCCATCGTCCCACAAAACGTTGAAAACACAATGTCCCTCCCAAAATATGCCGCTGAACCAAAATCAATAAGTTTACAAGAAAAATTTTGATCTATTATAACGTTCTCGTCTTTTACATCCCTGTGAACTATTTTATTGCTATGAAGATAAGCGACAGCACTAACAATCTGAAAATTTTTCAAGATAATTTAATCTGATTTGATGGAAAAGAATAAGAAAAAAGTCAGTTGCACTAAACATTTAACACAAAACAAAAAATAACCAAATAGTGGCTGTTATTACCTGTCTAAATATATAACTCGTTAGTGGTTCATCTAGCCTTGGCTGATTATCAATAAATTCAAAGAGATCTATGCCACAACCCAATTTCTCCATGACAAGCTGGTAATAAGTATCGTTTTGAAACACATCAAGTACCTTAAAAATATGCTTTATCCATCTACAACCAAATAAGAATACAAAATTATTCATTAGAAAAAGAATGCTAATAATACTCTGATTACCTTGACTATATTAGGATGTGAGAGGGTTTCTAATAAGTGAATTTCAATAGGTACCATAGCATTACTCCGTTTTGGACTTGAGACCCAGCTCTCCGGAAGGACCTTCGCTTTGCAAACAAACTTAGCAACAGCCTGAAAGCCTCTCATTAATCCCCCACGAAATTTTGATGATAAACACAATATCAAAAAACAGAAAGCTTCAAAGATTAAATTACCAGAAGACCAGAGTCTTTGCGAGCAGCGAGCTTTACAGACCCGAAAGCGCCGTTGCCAATTAAATGAAATGTATTATATTTCTGAGAATACTCTCCTCGTACAGCTTCAGCATTTTCATCCTCAAGTGTCTGTAGAGAAACAGAATTTCCCTAAAAAGCAGAACTTTAAATAGGAAACAAAACAGTCAACTTAATCAAGTGTGCTTCAAATTCGGATACCTGCAGTGCCTAAGAAGGTTAGACTTACTGAAGAAAGGCCATACTGTTTTCCCTCAGTGGTTTCAACATCATCCTCATTATCTACAGAAGAACAAGCCGTATCTGAATCTTTGCGCGTAATACCATTTTCATGAAAAAGGCCAAAGTCAACGCTTCTGTCATAGCCAATACATACAACCCAATTAGCAGGAAAGCCAATATCCAAACGTCTGATGTCGAATCGAACAGCTTAAAATTCAAACATATTAAAAATCAAAATTGCAGTAATCTCTGCTTTCTGCACCTTACCATCATCACGCACTACTCAAAGAAAAGTTTAAACAACGACTGTAACGCAAAACAAACTGGCAACTTCCTCCGAGTACGCATAAAAACTGAAAGTTACAACAATCGTTTTAATGAGTTAAAATCAAGTACCAATCAAGTTCGAATCTGAATGTTTAGCCAATCCGAAAAATGACCCTTCCCGTATTAACCTTGAGTCTTTATTTGAATCTCCATTTAAACGAGTTCCATTTGAAACATCACCATCACTATAACATTTAAGTATCAAATAAGAATCATGAAACATTACTGAGAGCAAATAACTTACCAAACATTACTAAAAGTTGTTTTAATAACTTTTTCACATAAAAGACGACCAGCAACGGCTACTTCTTACTGGTTGCAAAAAGTATATTTCAGATAGATTATTAGACTACCAAATAAAGAACTAAAAATTTTATACATCTACAAAGTCATTAGAATAAATAGCTCAACTAGTTATCGTAACAGTTTTTACAAAAAAAATCTGACTTTAATAGGAAAACATCCCAATTTTTAGCTAGTAAAACATCTCCTCTTATAAAATTGCTGCCAGTAACTAAACAGCCCTTCATAATCTCTGTTGTAACAAAACGCACCAGCAGTACACACTCAGCTCCAAAAAGCTAAAACTCACGAGTGCTATAAATTGATGCAGGCTAACTATATACAAAAAAATTGGAAAGAGATCTTTTTGTAACGACTTCTAAAACACTAAACTTAATCCGGCTGCGGACAGTATAATGACTAACTTGTTTTTCGACGAAGAAGCGACGTCCTCAGCAACCGTAGAGCGAGTAGGAACGACAAGATCTCCATTTCCTGAAGCGCATACCGAAGCTGATTGGCAAGAATTGGTAACCAACAGAGATCCTTTCAGTGGACTAGACGACGATAAAAAACCTCTATTTCCTGCAAATAATTCTGAAATCGTGGCTACCAAAGAAAAAAATAAAAAAAACTTGAAAATGCCCTTAAGCGGGCGAGTATAATGACTTATGATATAACAATCCCTTACTTTCACAGTAATCATGCTGCTGATCCTGAACATCAGGAACAATAATGCTTGAATCACTTGGCGATTTCTCACATAATTCAAAGTTGTTTCGAATATGCGAGTGGAACTCAGGTATCAAGTCTGTTATATTCTTAAAAAAAAGAAAAATAACGAATGTGATTCTACTGTAAGGCAATTCAACAACAAATGAAAACTGCAAGAAATAAATGCCTATCAAAAAAGACTAAACTCAGCCAAAAGAGAAACTACTTAGTATCCGTAACCGTATGCTCATCACTTCAGCAAGATAAAACAACACGTTTTGAGTAATGATGCATCAAATATGAACATCGAACAAAATTTACAAAGAAAATTGACAGTAATTTCCAATTAGAACAAAATCTGAAGGAACTCAATGAATAAAAATCAAAATGGTGAAGATGAGAATTTTTTAAAACTAAGGCTGGAAAATAGTAAATAGATAAAACTAATAAAGCCGCTATAAACAGATAAAAAGTACCTTAAATTTCTCAAAATTAACTTAATGAGGTTATATGTGCTCTTCTTCTAGTTTAACTAATAAAATCAGAAGAATAATTGCGCGCTATTCATCTTATTACCTAAGTGCAAAGAATGTTTTCTTTTAAAATTAAAAATGATGCGTCAAGAGCCAACTTAAGGCATTATTTAAGCAAAATTTCCTTCTTACTTAACGCTTGAAACACTTCCACTCACTTTGTCACTCTAACACTAAGTTCAACTTTGCATCTAGTATGAGACTTCTTTTTGCTTTAACTTTTACACTAGTTCCCGTTTTTCTGCTGCTCTAACTTCATATTCAGTGTAATTTCGCCATCCTACCTCGACAGGAACTGTGAAGTATTCTAACAAGGAACACCTAATTTCTAAACAAAAAATAACGGCAGGACTGTCATGACCCTTCTTCCTCGATGGCTCGGTTTCTTCCTTACTCAAAAAGGTACACAAGAACCAGCTTGAACTCAATTATGCAGTAACTAAACGACTGATAAGTAATAATAATAATATTAATATTGACTCACCGCATCCTCATTGAGTGCCATTTCTTTCCTCTCTTTCCCAACAAGTGCTTCAATGAAATTTTCATTGAAACTGTGCAGGTTGCCACTGTCTGTTAGGGTGACCACACCGTTCACAGCCGATAAAGCTCTTATTTGCAGTTCATACATTATTGCACACTGAGCTGAAAGAAAATCAAGCTAGGGAACCAGAAGCTCTAAGAACCAAACAAAAATAAAAGTTTTTTAATGACATTAAACTAAAAATTCACAGTGAAAAAACCGTTTTGCACAGCCCACTAAAAACGTTCATAAGGGAACACTCTAGAATCACATTTTTTTCGCCACAACATAGGTAGCGCAAAAAAGAGAATGGAATAACAAAATCATGCCTATTTCCCAGTTCCATTATCAATATTACCAATATTATTAATACTACTGCGTTTCCGAAAGAGTATTCTGAAGAAATCGTAAAAACGCCGGAGCGCAAAAATGTTTTTGAAATGCTTTATGACGGTCTATTTTGTACTATCTACAACAGCCAACCACATCGACTTTAATCCTTTAGGTCGTCTACCCTATTACTTAATTTACAAAGTTAAGGTTCCCGTATGTAAAAAGTTACATTTAAAAATTAAAAAATTATTTTTATGAAGATGCATAATTCAGGTCATTTTTTTCACTCTTCTACAAAAAAGAAAAGTCATTTAAAACAGCCATGAAGTAAACACTGTATTAACAAAAGTACTAGAAAAACCAGTGTTTTTTGTTTCAGCTCTACTCCAGCAACACCTTCAATTTACAATACTATACAACATGAACGTTAAAAAAAGCTGCGTTCATCAACGGAAAAGGCAGAGCCAAAAATTAATTTCGATAATCAGAAAACTGACTGATGGGATCCTTCTCGGCAAAAACTCGAACTGTTACCGGGAGAGAGTTCCCTTTTACGCCTACAGCACAAACGTGCTGTTCTTCTTCTCCGAAATCCAACTGAAACTCCGTACAATAGCTTCGTAAAGAAATCAAAAATGTTGACCTCTATCCAGAATAAAATTATAGAAAGTCAAGATTTAAATGCAAATAAATTGAAACTATCAACCTTTAGAGCTGGAATAAGTTTTTCAATTTCAGTTCCTAACAGCTCTCTCATAGAAACATAGCCAAGCAAAGTTGCCATGCTGTCATCTACTCGAAAAATACGACCCTATAACAAAAGACAAAATTTTTGGTAATTTATCTTGAACAAAAATAAACCAAATTAAGACGCATAACCAACATTTTTTAAAATATTCTCACAAACCTTTGCTCCTAATGTACATGCAATGAATACAGCACTGATCGGTTCCATCAAAACAAGCCACCTTCTTGAGACTGCTCCATCAGTCATATGGCGTTTTTCGCGAGCCGTATAGCTTCTTATTTTGTTTTCCCTCCCACCATTTAAAATATTTCTAGCCAAAACTTCTGAAAAAAAATACTGTCAAGTCATCGAGTAAAGTTTAAAAAAAAAAAGAGAATGAAAAAAAAAAGCAATCAAAAAAACAAATCACCTATTTATATGAAAATAGAAAAGAAAAGTGGAGAACAACAAGAGTACTTTCCGTGACCAATCATTAGTATTTAAAAAAAGAAAACTTTGAAAAACCACAAAACTAAACTAACCTAAATTAGCTTTTTTACCGCACATACACTCTGATAATGATGAATTTGAATTTCCTCCGATTTTTTCTGCAACAACAGTTTCCATTCCTGTAGGCAAGCTACGCCCTATAAATTATTAAAAATTATTTATTTCAGAAGAAAAAAAATTGCTTCAGATCTACTTATGTTCCATAAAACTAATAAAAAGAAAAAATAATAACAACATTTATATTGTATAAATATTTTATGATTACCGTAAGGGGCGCCTTGCGATGAAGTTTGCGAATTTGGATATGGTGTCGTTGAGCTGGTAGTTATTTTAATCAATGGTTGAGCAGCTGTACAACATTTTTTTGGCGTATTTGAATCCGTATCAGAAACACCCTTACTTCCGTGACTGAAATTGCAAGAAAAAATGTCATTCAAAGTGAATATACTTAAAAAGAAGCAAAAAAGAAACAACAATTAGGATTAAACAAAGCGTGTTAACGACTACTAATTATAACATCAAGTGAACTAAAGCTAAAAAATCTCAAACCACAAAAGAAAACGAAAAACTGACAAAAATAATTTGCTGGTGAAAGGCTACAATTTACATACTAATTTATTTTAGTACCGTTGGTGATGTCATTAGCGTCAAAAGTGAACAGAAAAAACTGAAGAAAACGAAAAACAAAAAAAAAGCAACAGTAACTATAGAACAAAACTTTACTACTACCTTTTGGATATATATTTTGAATAAACGAAATCAAAAAAAATCTTCAAACGTATTGGACACCGTTATACAGCGAGTCCCTTTTAAATAAGTGATAAATATTTCTGCCACCCAAACTACAGCTCTTCCTTTCCCTTTCCTCAACTTTCCCTACCCCCCCGTTTTCATTTGGCTCCTCCCGCTAATAAAAATCCAAACAACAATTTTTAGACTCATTTAAGACTAGTTTAAGATAAATAAGACAAATAAATAAAAATAGAAAAACAGGGTTTACTGCAGGCAACACCAAAATTTTAACAACAAACAATTTGCACGCTATAATTCACATGCATATTTGCAACATTACATCCAAAAAGTAAGAAGAATTCTTGTTTGTCCGTTTTGCTTTTCACTCAGTTTTTTTTGCCCCCCCCCCCTTCCCCTCTTCCCATCTTTATTCAATTTTTTCTTGCCTCCTAATCTATTGCTTCATTCAACACTCGAACTGTTAAACAATGAAAAAAAAAGCAAAAAAAAAATTATGAAATGGTGATAATGACAATGATGACAACTAACAATGGCAAAAACAGAAACAATAGAAACAAAAAACTAGCAGCAAAAAAAACAGCAAAAAAAATGTTTTCTCCAAAAAATGTTAACCAAAACCAGAATCAGCTAGCAATTAAATTGTCTTAAATCCCTTAGCCTTGACTTTCAGTCATCAAAAAAAAGAAGAAAAAATATGAAACAACATATTTTTGGGTTACGCTATTTGAAGTTTATCAAGTCAATGTTACCAATAACAGATAAAGGTACGCTAAGAAAAAAAAGCAGCAAAAAAATACAATAAGATAAAATAAAAAATAAAACTAAACAAGGATGGAAATGAAGCTAATCTAAATAGCATTTTCACTATGGTCAACTGTTTTGATCCTTTAACGAAACAAAACAACACCAAAAGAAAGTACAGTCTTTAGCGAGGAAAAAAAGCTTAAAAAAACTATCCCTTTTCCTCGAAATTCAATTAGAGTAACATAAAAAATGGTGACCACCAAAATGTAAACAGGTTTCAGAACAATTTCTTGCCCTTCTTCTCCTCGTCCCCCTTCTGCCTATATTTATTGTCTAAAACCACAATTGCAGAACAGCGACAAAATAAGATAACTAACAAACCTCAACAGAATTTTAGAACTTATTAACGATAACCAAACTCTGTTGTTCCTGCCAAACTTCGGCCCCTACACTTAAGAAACAAAAATTGGCGCTGATTAACGCTCAATTAAATGCCCACAAATGATCAACGTTTATTTGTTTCAAATATTGTTTGTGTTACGATTTAGACAGAGAATTTTTGCAGTATCAATAAGATTTCGAATGTTATCCGACCAGAAAAAACTGCTTAACAACAAAGAAAATAAGGAACAATCATATCAGTAAGGGTAATCAAATCATTACTGTTAGCAAACAACTAAAAACATCAAATTGAAAAGAATGGAAAAAAAGGAAAAACAAAAAATAATCTTTATGTAATATCTGAATAACAGATAAAATCTGACAGCTGTAAACAGCGATGTCAAAAAGTAGAGACAAAATCATCAAGGTGCAAAAAATTGAAAAAAACTAGATCTTTTTTTTTTTTCAAATGATTAGAAAACAATAAAAAAATTTGTCCAAAAAAAAAATTCATTGATCTACTGGCTGTTATGTGTCTAAAAAATAAGTTTATCTTTGTTTTTTTCTTTTTTTGGCTTTCAACTAGGAAATACGAAGAATAAATTTCCATCCTGCAGTAATCAGACAATTCCATTACAACATCAAATGCTACCATTTTTATTTTGTAAAAAAAGAAAATCCAAAGCGCTTTTAGTTTCAATCAAATTAACCAACTAACTGTAAGAAGCTATAAAGTTAGTTTTATATGAAAGCAGCAAAAGTCGCACTATTTAACAGTGTATGATCGTACCATACCGAGTATTTTAGCAATTCCAAATTTTGTAAATTTTTAACAAAAGAAGAATGCTAATATGATAAGCATTGAAATTCAATAAGATAAAAAAAAGCAAAAGAAAGAAAAAATTCTATCTATTAAATTCTTCTATCTATATATTTAACTGTTTATTTATTTATTTATTCATATCCAAAATAGTTGATGTGCTTATGCTGAACACCGTATATATCCACCACGACAGATAGTGTGTAATTCAAGATCAAAAAACAACTGATGCAACAGTGGACAACTATTTGCTTCATACTCATTCTCCGCACTTCCTTCTTGCCATACGCAATGATAACTACCGCCTCCTCAAAAAAAAAAAAAAAAAAAAA